CAACATGTATATTTATTATACGCAAAGAAAAACAGAGCAATAATACATAGAAATAGAATACAAATAATTCCTAAACAAAAACAGAGCAACAATCCATAGAATAGAATAAAATCCTAAACAATACATGTCATTTGCACTTCAAATCCTGCACGGCCCGAGTAGTCAGATTGATTGCCATGGTGCAACTCATTTCAGCAGACTTCTTTTTCTTAATCACCTTCATCAATTGCACCTTCCCACTCAGCTTCCCCTGGCTGCTCAGCATCAAAACCCCAGAATTAACGTCGTTACTGAAGTTGGGGTTGGTGGATAAACTGCTGAAACTGACCGAGAACACAATGTCGAATTTCTTGGTCTGCCTCGCCCTTGCTCTTCCTTTCATGATGGCTGCCTCCCCAACAGGAACGCCACTGTACAGGATGGTGAGGGAATTGTTTTCGTACTTGAAGTGCCCGAAGTTGGTGTTCTTTACTGTCACCTGGGTAACCAAGTCAAAAGATGGTAACTTGTTGGCACCGGTGCTGAAATTCGCTACCGTGGCTGACCCGAACCTGAGTTTTGGACTCTTGACTCGCATCACGGTGAGTGCAAAGACCAAGATGATGGCCGTTTGGAAGACAACAAAGGCGGCCACGTAGAGCAGGCATTTTTTTCTGCTCCGTTTCCCTTCTTCTTTCATTTTGGATGAAGCTAGTGTTTGGTGGAGAACAAAATGAAGGAAAGTGTGAGAAAATTATAATGGGGATTGGATGGTTTTTTTTGGAGGGATCCGAAGAGGGTGGGTTGTATTTATAATAGTTCGTATCAATTGGAAAGCTTAGACGCTTCTTTGGCGGACTTTCGAGTTTGGATTTTTTTTTTTATAACAATGTGTTATGCGACGGGTTTGAACACTAAAAGAGGAAAGTGTACTGCAATGTGATCGAAAGTTACTTTGTTGGTGCGAAGTTTGGACTTTTTATTCTTTTATTATATATTTCTTTTGTTTCTTGTCTGATATCCGGGATTTTGCCCCGACTAATTCAGATCGATTCGCGTCGCACACCTGAAAATGGTGGTGAGTCTCCCAACGAAAGCTGCTACATTCACAAAGTCTCGAATTCGAGACCTTACTTAAGCTGAAACAAACCGTTTACCACTTGATCCAACTCCTCATTTAGTTTTTTATTATATATATATACACGTAACTAACAGAAGCTTCTTCCAAACATTGAATTCTTCAAACAAGAAATGACGAAAATTGTTGACGTCACCCAATTTTCTTATTATTTTAATCTCCTTCTAGTAGAATGGAATTATAATTATTTATAAAAATAAATTTATTACTGATTAAAATTTCATGCCATCATGAAACACGATACTACATAAGTCAAATCCATGACCACAATCAGGTATTCAGGCTTAATAAGACAGATGGGCTTGCACTTTCTGGGTCTAGCTTTAGGACTAAGTTTGGGCACAGCCTGGGTTGATCCATTGCTTTATCTAGGGGAGACTGATG